TGATCTCAAACCAGGCAAAACGGGGACCAAAGGGAGGCCCAAACTTTACCTGTATGATGTCTACTTGTATACCTAATCTTGAATTGTACCCCACATCTTTAAAATAAAATAAAATAACATAAAAAATGAGCTGTTTCACTTACATTAAAACCAAGTCTTTCCCAAATCACAACACTAAGTAGAAAAAAATTGGTTTGAAAGACAGTATCCTGATTTTTTTTTTTACAATAACAGCTATAGTTACGCACTTTGGGGTAATATATACAATCAACCAACACATATCTAATATTTAAAAATCCAGATTATCTATCTCGTTAGGGCCTGCAACCAATGTTACTGCTTCTGAATTCCTGTAGCATTTTTATTTTCAGTGCAGCACTGATCAGATTCTACTCTAGATTTGTCACTGGAGCACATGAGGTCTCTGCATAAAAGGCCATGCAATGAGCTTCCAACAGCATCTAGGATGACACCTTTCATTTTTGCTAAACTGGTGTTTAGTGAATCCTGGTGAAATGAGTGAGTTGCATCCCTGCTTAAAATTCATCATGAGGAGATGGTACAGATTGTTCTTCCAGCAAACTGAAATCCGACCCACCCTTACCGTTTCCACTGCAGCCAGCTGGAGTTCTGTGACGGCGGCATATAGTTCTTTCTTTGAAAGCTGATGGTGGTGGTAAATATCACAAAGGAAATCAGCGCTAGCCTGCTGAGAATACTTCTCTAATCGGATGTCAATACAAGATTTGACTATTAGAGAAGAGAAAAAAAGAGAGAAGTAGGTTGGACATTAGGATGGGGAAAACAACAAAAGGCCTAAATCCTTTTTGAAATATCTAAAGGCTCTTTTCAGGAACACCGACAATCTGTTACCTAAACCGACGTTGCCTTTTTGTTAAGTTGGCAAAGATGTATCAATGTCCACATGAACCAGGATTCTCAAACTTCAATGTGCAAAGGAATCACTGAATATCTGCTTAAGATGTAGATTCTGAACCAGGGGTCTGGGGTGGGCCTGAAGTTCTGCATTTCTAACAAGCTCCAGGTAATGCTGTTGGGCTGCAGCTTACATTTTGAGTAGTAAGAGCTTAGAGCGTGGAAGAGCTCAGCATGAAAGGAGGTGGGATTTGGGTTCACTTTCAGAGTCAGAACTTGGGCCGGGCATGGTGGATTACACCTGTAATGTCAGCACTTTGGGAGGCTGAGGCAGAAGAATTGCTTGAGCCCAGGAGTTCAAGATCAGGCTGAGCAACATAGCAAGACTCCATCTCTAAAATAAAGCAAACAAAAAAATTAACTGTATGTAGTGGCACATGCCTATAGCACGAGCTACTTGGGTAGCTGAGGCAGAAGGATTGCTTGAGCCCAAGAGGTTGAGGCTGCAGTGAGCCATGATTGTACCTCTGCACTTCAGCCTGGGTGACAGACACTGACTCAGGAAGAAAAAGAAGAAAAAAAGAATCAGAACTGGACCCAGATATTACCAGTCACACACACACTGCATACACACACATAACTACAGTATGCATGTGTGTTGACAATAATTGTAAAAATTTCTAATGTGTGTGAAGTAAATTCTAGACATGTGTCTCCCTCACTTCAATCTATTCAACAAGCAACCACCAGACTAATTATGTTGATGATAATGGTAATAATAATAATGATCACATACGGCACAGCAGTTAGAGTCCTGGAGCCCTTCTGCCTGACTTCAAACCCTGCTTTGCCATCACCTGGTGTGTAATCTTGAAAAAACTGTCACTTCTATGTCTCTCAGGGGTAATAAAAGGACCTACCCCTTATGGGTTTGTTATTAAATAAGTATATGTGTGAACAATACCTTGCACCAAATATTCCTTTCATCATGTAGCAGAAACAGCTCTGATCCTTGAGATATCATGCTATACCAAGTGTTTGTGTTGTCTGTATTAGACCCAGAAACAGTTGCATTGAGGTAGGTACTATTATTATCAATAGTAATATAAACACTTTGGAAAGCCGAGTAGGGAGGATTGCTTGAGCTCAGGAGTTCCAGATCAGCAAGACCTCATCTCTACAAAAAATTTTTTTAAATTAGCCAGGCATGGTGGTATGTGCCTATAGTCCCAGCTACTTGGTGGGCTGAGGCAGGAGGATCACTTGAGCCCAGGAGTTGAGTTGTGATTGTGCCACTGCACTCTAGCCTGGGTAGCAGAATGAGACCCCAAAACAAAACAAAACAAAACAAAAAAAAAAAGAAGAGAAAGGTGCCAACACATTTGACAAAGTCATCACAACCAGTGACCGAGTTCAACTTGAACTTGGGGGTCTCTGACACTAAAGTCCTTGCTTTTAACCATTCTTAGTTCCAAAAGAAGACTACAGAAAGCTGTCTTCTGTCTTTTTTTTTCTCTTAAGAATCTGTCTACACAGGGTGGTCCCAAAACTCATGTGTTTGCAAAACCTGAATTAATGAGGAGAAGCAATTCCATGGGAGGATGGTGGTGGTTAAGCCAAGAAGATCATTCCAGACCTTCCCTCTGGAGCTCCAGAGATGAGGCACAGGGTTAGCATTGGCAGACTGTGAAGGTCAGCTCTTACCTGATCTGAAGATGGTATCCCAGGCCAGCGTGTGATCCTGCCAGACCCTGGTGTTGAGGCTCTTGTGCAGCTCCACTGGAGTGACCATCATCCTCCCAAATGTGCTCATCATCTGAGAAAAACACAAATGCCTTTTTATTCCAAATTATCCTTCTCGCAAAGACAGCATTCATACTGGATGATGAGCATCCTGACACGGCACTCTGTGCTTCTTGAAAGGCTAAATTTCCAAGGACGCAGTGCTAGTACTAGAAGCAATGCCCACACCCCACCTCCAGTGAAATAGTGAAAGTTATCTTTGGAATGAGTTTCCACAGAATGTGTTTAACACAAATTGTGATTTTATGACTTAATCATCAAAAAGGAAAAATTATAACTTCCATATTCACTTCAATTTATTCTTCTTGCTCTTTTTCTTTTCCTTTTTCTACTTCTCCTTTTTTTGGACTGGGTCTCACTCTGCCCTCCAGGCTAGAGGGCAGTGACCTGATCACAGTTCATTGCCGCCTTGACCCCCTGGGCTCAAGCAATCCTCTCTCCTTGGTCTTAGTTAATTTCAGTATGTCTTTGTAGAGATGGGGACTCACTATGTTGCCTAAGCTGATCTTGAACTCCTGGGTTGGCCCTCTTCCTGCCTTGGCCTTCCAAAGTGCTGAGATTACGGGCATGAGCCACCATGTCTGGCCCATTATGTACTTCAATTTCTAATAATTTCTACACTTCAGTCATTCCCAAATCAATTTCACATATACCACCTAAATTATTAAAAAACTTAAACATCTAAAGATGTTCATGTTCTTTTTTGAAAGTATTTTTAATCAATTAACCTTTAATTGAAATACCTAGTTTAACCTTGCCCAAAGAAAGAATGGATTTAATGTGCTTCTTTATAATATATGCACATAAATACACTAAAATATATAATACACATTAAAATGAACACTTAACTATTGAAATAGAATATATGTTATGTCACTTTTTGTGAAATACTCTCAAGTTCTATAACATTCTATAAAACATCGGTGCTCTCCTTAAGAGGTACTTACTGTTTTGATGGCTGTGATGAAGTTCAAAGCTTCATCTCCTGCATTCTTCTGAAGAAGACCAAATCTCTTCTCATATAACACAAGGCAGATACCTGTCATTTAAAATAATCAACACTGTTACATAATCACAGCAACGCTTGAGTCTGTGATTAGCTAGCTGGCTATTAAAGATTCGATCCTGTGTCTACTAAGTGTGGGATTTTCTAAGAAAAAACAAAACAAAACAGAAGGCCAAGAACAAAGAGGAAAGGCAAAGAATCTGAGAGAAAGGGACATGATCATCCTCCTTTTCTAGAAATTATCTCCAGGTCCAATGATCCACCCCTTAGAACGTCCTGATCAGAGATGTATCGTCCTGAGTCACATCAGTCACACGGAAGCCCTGGAGCCCCTAGCAAAGGTGCTGTTGTGCCAGGGCTCTTCTATGCCTTTAACTCAGTTGTGTTGTTGGAGTTGCTTATTGGATTCCATCGCCTGATGTGACCAATAGGAAGCCATTCATGAGGAAGAGAAGGGAGGGGAGGAATGTGCTGAGCACTCATGACATGCTAGGTACTCGGCTAACATGTCATATATATATATGTATGTATATATATATATATATATATATATATATACACATATATAGTATATGTATATATATGTAATATGTATATTTCCATTTCATCATTCCATTTAGACACAAACTTTTTAAAAGTAAAATTCTCAACTCTATTTTGAAACATTTTACCTACAAAAAATTGAAAAAACAGTATAATAAATACTTGTTCCCTCTGAAGTCAGATGCAGTGATTATCAACATTTTGTTGCACTTGCTTTCTCCTTGTGTTTGTATACATACAAGCCTATATGTTTCTGTGTACAGTGAACTATTTGAAAAAAATTTTCAGTCTCATGACATGTCATCATTAGACACTTTAGCAATCATCTCCTAGGAATAAAGACATTGTCCTGCATAACCACAATGGCATTAATATTCCTAAGAATGGTAGCAACCATTCCACAATACATCAACTATGTGCCCATTTAAATATATCCCCCATTGTCCTAAAAATTATCTTCTATCACAATACAGGATCACTACACCCACATTTTGGGGCGGGGGTCATAGTCTTACTCTGTGGTCCATGCTGGAGTGTTGTGGCACAATCACAGTTCACCATAACCTCTACCTCCTGGGCTCTGGCCATCCTTCTGCCTCAGCCTCCCTAGTAGGTGGGACTACAGGTGCACACTACCACACCTGGATTTTTTTTTTTTTTTTGTAGAGATGTGGTCTCACTGTGTTTCCCAGTCTGGTCTTGAACTCCTGGGCTCATGAATCCTCCCTCCTCAGTCTACCAAAGTGCTGGGATTACAGGCATGAGCCGTTGTGTCCAGCTACCTTTTGACAATCTTTTGGCAAGTGGATAATTAGCTCTCAATTTAAAAACTAGGATACTGGGCTTAAAAGAAGGAAAATGACTGGCTTAAAATAAAAAATTTGAGAAGCAAGAGTCAATAAGCTTAGTCAGTGAAAATCCATAGCTTTTCCAGACACATTCATATTTTTCAAACTCTACACATTCCTGTACAGCTTTTCAAGGTTTCCCCACATTTGTGTCCCACTATGCAGCAAGGATACCACGGGAGTATGTGGGATAGCTCTCGGTAGTAATGCACTTTTACCAAAAAAATCAGTTATTTACTTTTATCGTAATCTATTCATTGCAGTGATTCTGACTTTAATTTATGGAAATGTTACAGGCTTTCCTTAAAGATAACATAAAACAATGAATGGCAATGTCAGGTAACTAAACAGTGCAGGTGTAGGCTGTTATGAAGAACACTATGAAGTGGTAGGCACCTGTGAAACTTGGGCAAGGTCTGTTTGTCAGATGATCATTGTCTAATAAAGTGCATATTAAAAGTAAGATAATACTTTTCTTGCTTATAAATACCTGAGGTCTTTAGTAGGTAAGTAGCCCATTTTATAAAACATATTCAACAGTACACACATTTAAAAAAAAAAATAGTAGGTTGCAGTACCACAGTAGCGACCCACATATACATTCCAATGTTTCAAAAAATACTAAACACTGTGTGTACGCGCGCGCGCACACGTGCGCACGGGGAGGCAACCCTGAAGTGGTGTTTTCGTCATTTGTGGGGCATTTTTTTGGCCCACATTGTAAATTAAATCCACAAGATTTTGCCACTGTGCCAATGTAGCTGTGTTTTATACATGAACGAATCACCTGCAGTGTCTTGCTTTTGCCAGAGTTTGTCATTGATGTCATGTGTGGCCAACACTGTTAATAGCCCAACTAATACTCATTCTTACCCATGTTGTCCCTGACAGAATCCTGATTTTATTTGGGGTGCCACTGTATTAGTCCTCAGGCACTGAGGCAGGATAGATTTAAGACTTATGACAGTCCTGGTCTCTGATTTCCCAGGCTTCCTTGCAGCAGGTACAGGAGCCATGTGACCCAGTTCTGGTCAATGAGACCTAAGGGAAAAAACTCTCTTTTCCTCCCTCCCTTCCTCCCTCCCTTCCTTCCAAAATAAGGCAATAGTTTTTTAAAAATAGAATTTAAAAAATTTCTTTTTGTGGAGACAAAGTCTTACTATGTTGCCTAGGCTGGTCTCGAACTCCTAGGCTCAAGCAATCCTCCCATCTCGGCCTCCCAAAGTATTGGGATTATAGGCATGAGCCACCGTGCCCAGCCTCTTTTTGCTTTCTTGATAAAGGGGACCAGTGCACCTGGCTTTGTTCTTTTTTTCCTCCCTCTTTTTTTTTTGCCGGGAATGCAGGGATGTGGTCAGTAGTGGTCACAGTCATTTTGCAACATGCCAATCAGCTAAGGACAGATAAGCAAAAGGCCAGAAAGTGCTCTTGTCCTTGGTGACATCACTGAGCGCCAGTATGGACTGCCTTCCTAAGACTTCTCGAATGCTGGACAATAGATTTTCAACCAACAGGGTCAGGTTTTCTTTGATTTGTATTTGATACTCTTAGTTTAGGTGTTCCCAGTAAACAATTTTCAAAACATAATATTTCTTTCCTCTTCCAGAATGTTCCCTCCCTTTATTCCTCTTTTCCTTAAGACTGGCTGTGGATTCCTTACTCGCCTGGAGGTTTCTAGCATGCTAAGATGACTAGTCCATAGTTTTAGGTGAAGCTGACCTGATGGGAGAGACAGGTCACTGCGAAAGCCCCCATCCGTCCAGGGGTGCTCACTCTAATCCTTCCCTTCAGCAGCCAGAGTGATCCTTCCAGCCAGCCAGACCATGCAATGCTGCTGCTAGAGACACTCCACTATAGCCCAACTAACCTCAGGCTCAGATCCTAACTTCCGTCCTGGTTCATAAGCCCTTCCGTGAGCTGGCTACTGCCCCCACCCATGCTCTATCCTCCCCACGCCCCTTCCCACCAGGATACTCTTCAGACATTCTGCACTTCTTCCTTGGGGACATTCCTCCTTCCTCACTTTTCGCCCCGTGAACTCCTACGCATCCATCAGGTCTTAACTGAGGGGCACCACATCCATGAAGTGTCCCCTGACCAAGCCTGGCTTAGGCAGCCCCCTCAGTTTCTCCCCAGCCCTGAATGTCCTCAGTCAGGCACTCCCAACCGGACTGCAATTGCTTTATTCCCAGCACGATCCTCAACGAAAGTGACCACGCCCTCCTCTGCTCAAAACCACCCATGGCTCCCCATCTGAATCAGACAAAAAACACAAGTCTCACTGGGACCTATGGGTGCTGCCAGATCTGACACCTGCCTTTGTTTCGACTTTGTCTTCTTTCCAGCCTCGCCTTCCTTCCCCTTGCTCATCATGGCCCACTCACACCAACATCCTTGCAGTCCCCCAGATGCAGCGTTCATGCCACCACCTCAGAGCATTTGCACTTTCTGTGCCCACGGAACCCTCTCCACAGATACCCTTGGTGACATGCTCTTTCCCTTTCTCAGGCTGTACTGCAAATGTTGTCTAACCAAAAAGGACTTGCGTCACCTGGGTGCCTCTTCCATGCCCTTTCTTGCCTCCTTTACTCTTTACTCCTGGGCAGAATGCATTTTAAAATGTGTTTACTTGTTGATTGCCACCCTCTCTAGAATCTAAGCTCCCCAAAGTGCTGGGATATGGCCTGTTTTGTTCACTGTTGTGTCCCGAGTGCCCAGCACAGTGCCTGACACAAAGCAGGTGTTCCATAAACGTTTGTTATAGGATTATACAAACAATTTAGGGTGCAGGGCATAACTTAAGTGCCTAAAAGGAACATTAAAAAGGCTGCTATGGCCTTTCTCTAGGCAGCAAAAGTGCACACAAGAGTTGTCAACAGAGCTGTGTTTTAACCTCAAAATCACCTGCAAAATTGAATGAGCAAGACTGTGAAAACAACTTACTTTCAAATGACCATTTGTTCAGTTCACTGTACAAGTCTTCAATGTAGCCTCTTTCATCACAGAGTTCATCTATTCTGCCCATAAAATCAGCCAAAACCTTCAGGAAAAAAAAAAACACAAAAAAAAACATATTAAAGTCATCGAAGGAAAACAAAAGTTGAACTTGCAGTAAGCTAGCTTCAGGTTTTGCTACATTGTGTACTCGCTGGCCATAATGATATTCCTTCTGAAGTCACACTAATTATAGATTTTCTTTGGAAACCCACCTTATCCCCTAACAACCTTGTCCTGGGTTATTTCCTGAGCCACCCTGAAGCTTAAGTTTCCGCTTTTGATCTAAAAGTGAGTCTGGCAATTTAAGAAAAGGAAAACATTTCTTCTAATCGGAATGGGAGAATAAACAACCAAGAAGGAATCAGCCAAGTGTCCCTGTGGCTACAACATTTCAAGGACTGTGATGCTGCAGCGATCCTGAGGGGTGTCCTTCCCTATCTGGGCAAGCAAACATCTCTTTATTGGTTGGTGGTTGTGCTAAGCATGTTGAACTTGGAGCCAGGAGATCTGCAAATTCTGGACCCATCTCTTTCTCTAAATAGCCTATGACCGTGAGACAGTCACATAAGGCCTTTGGATGCCAGTTTCAGAAACCAGATTTGCAATGACTAATGCCTCACATTTAATTGGAGGGTGAGAGAAGGGTGGGGGGGAGCGGTGAAACACTACCTGTTGGGTACAATATCCACCACTCAGGTGATGGGTACACTAAAAGCCCAGACTTCACCAGTATGCAATACATTTATGTAACACAACTGCTCTTGTACTCCTACATCTATAAAAGTAAACATTTTTTTGAAAAGCCACACATTTAATGAGGTTCATATAGTACCAAGCGCTGTGCAAACTGTATTAGCCAATGCTCACAGCAACCCCATGAGGTAGTAAGCACTGTCCTTACTCCCATTTCCCATGTAATAGATGAGAAAACTGAGGCCTAGAGAAGCTAAGTCACTCACCCATGGGCAAAGCTGGAAAGTTGCCATGCTGGACCCTGGCACAAGGTCTGTATGACCCGAAAGCCCACGCATGTAACCCACATAGTACATTTAAAAGTACTTTGAATTTGTTACCATTAAAAAAAATCAAGAGGTTTCATATGAACGTATAGATTGCCCACTGCTCATCAAAAAAGTAAATAATAATGACAAGATGTAGGGACACTGGACCTACATTTTCATATAGACAGTAATTCCCTGGAACCTGGGCAGCTGTCCCCTCTAGGAAGCGCATGCACTACCCTGCTTGCTCAAATTTTCACTGAGCCTGCCTTATTCTTTTATATGCATTACCTGGCCCCTGAAGCTTCTGAGCTTGCAATCCTTCACCTATATGATCCCATCTAAGTCTAAATCCAATTCAAAATAAACATCCAAAGTGAACAGGAGTGGAAAGAGATTACTATACACTTAAAATTTCCTTAGACCCCCTAAGGATAATGTCCAAATATTTTAGTATAGTACAAAAACGTTAAGACCCACCCAAAGGATAGTGTCCAAATATTTTAGTATTGTACAAAAACATTGTTAAGATCTGTGCCTCATCCAGTGTCATTTCAGAGAAAGCCTCACTTCAGCAGCACTGAATGTCTAGCTTTCTGAACACAACATGTCATTTCATGCCTCCTTATTCTCAGCATGCCCCCTCCTTTTGAATGCCTTCCCCACCTTCTTTGCCTTGCAGACTCCTATTCATTCTGCAAAATTCAGCTCAGATGTCACTACCTAAAAACTTTACAAGCATTATCTCACTTAATTCTCACAGCAATGGAGAATTAAACTGTAACTTCCATTTTGTAGATTGGGAAGCTGAGATGGAAAAATTAAGTGATATGGGTAGGGTTTATAGCTAGTGGGAGGAAGACTGGGGCTCAAACCAGGAGTACCAGATACCAAGGTGTGTGCTCCTCTCTGCTCTCTTTTTGTACTATGACTTTAAAAGAGGGTAAAGGAAGGAGAAATAGCGGTTTGGGGGGAGTAGCCTATCCAAATTGCATTCTTTTCCCTTTATGCTTTGCTGCTGCATCTTGAAGTTCTATTAACATCTCTTCACCCCCAAGAGACCCAAGAAAACTGGCCACAGCCCACAGACCTCATTGATTTTGTTGTCCAGCTTCATAACTTCCACTGGCTTCATAAGTTTCTTTTGAAAGGCGCTCCGGACCCTCTGCCAGTCTTCTCCTTCCCTGGGAGAGAAGCAGGATTATATTTAGAGCAAATTGAAAAGAAAAGAAGGGAAAGGCAGAAATCCCTTTCGCTGCAACGTTGTAGACCATAAAATCAAATGAGCACTGAGAATCATACTAGGAAACAGCCAGAGAATATTAGGATTAGAATATTTGGGACTATGGAGAATAGGATAAAGAATAGGAAAAGCACCTTTTCTCCTTGCCAAAGATTGCACCTGAAATTTGAAGCCCAGATTAATTTGGATTCAAGGATTTTGAGGTGCCCTTGTGGGGGTGGGACTGGGAGGACAGAGGCCTCAATTCTTAGCAATAAGAGCAGGTCTGGGGACATTCTTTACCTGCAACTCAGATCTGTTTGAGAAAAAAATCTTGTCTTCTTTCAACTCATTGACTTGGCCCTCATGTTTACAAAACTCCTCCAGTTTATAATTTTACCATTGCCTCCAAATAATACCAGACAGTCAAAGATGAGCTTTTAAAAGCCTGTGGCCATCATGCACCCTAGGTATATGCCCCACAGCTGACCACACAGCCTGTGACACACCACCTGCATTAATATAGTTTCTAATTCCTGTAATTATATCCCAGAAAACACAAGTATCAGATATGACAATTTAGAGATTTTTTAAAATGCCAACTTGTTAAGTGCTAACAATTAAAAAAGTAGAGTAAGTAATCCCATTGTAGCATTTATCTATCTAAAATGCAACCTCAAAGTCAAGTGCACTTGTAGTCCCACCTACTCGGGAGGCTACCTGGAGGGGGAGGAATCTCTTGAGCCCTGTAGTTTGACACCAGCCTGGGCAACACAGGGAGACCTGTTTCTAAAATAAATAAAATGCAACCTTGACCTTCCTCCTCATCCCACCTTTACAAGTAAGAATTAGTCATAACCCACAATCCTGTCCAGAAAGCAAAAGAAGTTAACTTCTGGCTTTTGAGCTTACAAGAAGGAGTTTCAGGGACACTTAAGGGATAATTTTGTCTGTATGTTTGCCTTGGCCAGGCACAGTTGCTCACTCCTGTGATCCCAGAACTTCAGGAGGCCAAGACAAGAGGATTGCTTGAACCCAGGAGTTGGAGATTAGCGTGGGCAACACAGCAAGATCTCCTCACTACAAAAAAAATTAGCCAGGCATGGTGACACGGACCTGTAGTGCCAGCTACTGGGAGGCTGAGGTAGGAGGATCGCCTGAACCCAGGAGGTTGAGGCTGTGGTGAGCCATGATCATGCCACTGCACTCCAGCCTGGGTGACAGAGGAACCCCCCCAACACACAAAAATGTTTGCCTTGCACGCTGACTTCAGAATCTCATCCTGCCCAGAAGTCTGAACCTCACAACCTGTATATCCCCATTTTTGCGTTTGTTTGATGGAAAGTTTCTTTGACTGAATGAGAAGGGTGTGGCCCTGTCTATTTATCAGAGAGATCATGCAGGTGTTTGGTGCGCAGCACAGCTTCCTCCGGATCCTCCTTAGTCTATGCAACAGCTCAGATTGCACCTGCACTGGGCAGGTGGCCTAAAAAGATCCAGCCCAAAGGAACGCTAACTCCCACCCTTGCGCCGTTTCCAGGCTCATCCGGCCGCCTGCCCAGGTCACCGCGACTGGACTCACAGGATCAGCAGTCCGTAGCCTTCTTGGCGGTAGTCGCGGTAGGCCTTCCACGGTTTGATCTCCAGCCGCTGGGGGTACGCGCTCTCGGTGCGGTACAGCGCTTCCAGCAGGCACGGCGAGCCCAGGTGCACCGAGTCAAAGGAGCCCAGCTTCATGCGGAAAATCTTGCCGTACTTTTTGTGGTACTCCGCCTGCAGCGGGACAGCCACAGCGCGAGGTCAGTGCGCATCCTCCCCAGTCC